ACCCAGGAGTGCAGAAATCGCTGACTATGATTCACCAACGATTCTGGTGGCCATCCATGGCCAAGGACGTCAGGCAGTTTGTGGCGGCCTGTTGTTTGTGCCCAGAACAAAACTTCTAATGCACCTCCCGTTGGTCTGCTTCGCCCCCTACCCATCCCGTCCCGCCCATGGTCACACGTGGCCCTTGATTTTGTCACTGGTCTCCCAGAATCTAAAGGAAACACCGTCATTCTCACGGTGGTGGACCGTTTCTCTAAATCAGTCCATTTCATTCCCCTACCCAAACTTCCTTCAGCCAAGGAGACTGCGCAAGTGGTGATTGATCACGTATTCCGGATTCATGGTCTTCCGGTTAATGTGGTTTCTGACAGGGGTCCCCAGTTTGTCTCCCGCTTCTGGAAGGAGTTCTGTCGACAGATCGGGGCTTCTACGAGTCTGTCATCAGGATTCCATCCCCAGACCAACGGGCAGTCTGAACGAGCCAACCAGGATTTGGAACGAACTCTCCGCTGCCTGGCATCCCACAATCCTAGCTCCTGGTGCCAACAACTGTCGTGGGTCGAGTACGCTCACAACTCTCTTCCGTCGTCAGCTACAGGTTTGTCCTTATTTGAGTGTTCAATTGGATTTCAACCCCCTTTGTTTCCCTCACAGGAACCTGAAGCTGCCGTTCCGTCTGCCCTGGCTTTCGTTCGGCGGTGTTGACGCACCTGGAGGAAAGCTAGGGAGGCCTTGGTCCGAGTTGGCAGACGAACCAAAGCAGCAGCCGACCAACACCGGACTCCTGCCCCTCATTACATTTGTGGTCAAAGAGTATGGCTCTCCACCAAGGACCTGCCTCTCAGGGTGCCTTCACGCAAGCTGGCCCCCAGGTTCATTGGTCCATATCAAATCACTAAAGTCTTGAGTCCGGTGGTGGTAAGGCTCAAGCTTCCCCCCAAGCTTGGTCGGGTACACCCTATTTTTCATGTATCTAGGGTTAAACCTGTGATGTATTCCCCCCTCCCCCCTGGTACTGTCACACCCCTGGTTTGATCACACCGCCTTTGTTTATGTTGTCATGTCATTAGCACGCGTGGATGTTTTGTTTTGGTCTGTCACCTTGTGCTCAACGTATATTCCTCCCTCCCCCTTGTTACCTTTTACTATTGTCATGATTTAATTGGTCTCACCTGGATTCCAGTTATGCTCCTTCCCCTATTTAGTTCCCTCTTGTGTGTCATCCTGTGTCAGATCGTTGTGTGTCAGTCCGTGTAACTGTCTTCCGGGTTGTCTCTCTAGTCCTGTCGTGTTGGTTGGTGTTATCTCTTCCAGTTGTGTTTCGCCTGGCCGTCATCTAGCTTCTAGCGCTCTGTCCTTCTTGTGTGTGTTCCCTTTTGGCTTATATCCCTCTGTTCTCAGGCACCGTCATCCCCTCCGCACTGAGTTCTCCGACATCACCTGCCGTCCTGCTTCCCCTCTCCCTCGCTCACTCTCGTCAGTCACATCTAAAACAGCCGGGCCATAGTGCGCCCTCTACCGGAGAAGTTTGTAAGGACATTCTTTTCTTAATATATTTTTTGCTGTCTTAACCCCGGCCGTTTTTTGTTGTTTTTTCCCCTTGTGTGCAGCGCGCCACTGGCCGAGAGACTCTGTTTTTCCCCCTCGGAAATTTTTATTTTTCTCTTTACATACCCGGTAACGGAGGAGGTCCTAAAGACTATTTGTTTGATCTTTTTGGATTTTTGTGTTATTTTTTTGGCTGTTATTTTGTGACCCTGACTACTGGGTTTGCTGTTCATTAAAATCTTTAATTTGAACCTGCATTTGTGTCCTTCCAGTCCCATTACTGACACAAACAGGGTGAACACAGCAAACACTACACAACAGCAAACATGGTGAAATCCAGCACACTGAGAGATTAAAGCACTGAAGCTTCAGCCGTCATTCACTCACCCTCACGCTGTGGCAGATGGAGGAGTTTCACTGCTGTGGAGATTTGACTTTTCTCCTCAGTAATCTTCCTCCAGTGCTGAACATCATCAGAGATGCAGTTCATCAGAGAATTCAGTCACGGGTCATGTTCAAGTATTTCCTGAAAGAGTCTCTGAGAGTCGCCACTGCAGTGATTGTTGGTGTTTGCTGGAGTTTCAATAGTGTGTTTGTTCCTGGACATCTGGAGAGGCTTGAAAGTGTTTCTAGGCCTGCATTTCTAAAACTCTAGATTCACCCTGTAGTTCCTGATCTGTCCAGCAGGGGGTGAAAGATAACTTTTATATTTTTAGCATGAAACTAAAGGTTTCTTTCTAGATGGCCCGGCAGAAAAATCCAGCTTAAACCAGCCTAGGCTAGTAAGCTGGTTTTAGCTGGTCTACCAGGCTGGTTTTAGAGGGGTTTTGGTCATTTCCAGGCTGGTTTCCAGCCATTTCCAGCCTGGTCTTAGCTGGTCAGGCTGGAAACTGACCAGCAAAATCCAGCTAAAACCAGCTTGACCAGCCTGGTTTAAGCTGGGCATAGCTGGTTTTGGCTGGGCTCCCAGTCTGGCTAGGCTGGTCAAGCTGGTTTTAGCTGGTCATCTCAGAGCCTGACCAGCTAAGACCAGGCTGGAAATGGCTGGAAACCAGCCTGGAAATGACAAAAACCCCTCTAAAACCAGCCAACCAGCCTAGCCTGGTTTAAGCTGTTTTTTTTTTCAGTAGGGGGACAATAGTAAAAGCTCAAAGGGTCTTCTTTCCATTGATACTTATTTTAGTTTGTAGCTCCCTGGGGTCAAGAACTGTTACTATTTGGAGTTTGGTGGGTATTAAAGTGATACAGCAGGAAAAATAAGTATTAAACGCATCATCATTTTTTTCAGAAAACAATGTTTCAAAGGGTGCTTTCACACTTGGTTTAACTGCCTGGATCGTACCCAAGTTTGATTGTCCCCTCTTGCCACCTTCTCAGCTGATTTCACACTGTCTGTTTTCCTTCTGAACCCTGTACGCTTGCGTCATCAAGCTGCTGTGTGTACAGTTGTTGCTAGGTGACGGGCACGAAAGCAAAGCACCAAAACAGAGACATCAATGTATCACGGTCATTCTGCTTTTACTGAATCTTTTTGTTTTGTTACCAAAACCAAAATACAGAAAGCCACTTGCATCTATCTGCTGCAAAAATATATTTTAAACCTTCATATCATCACGCGATGTCTGCAGAAGTCTTTTTGGTGGAGACAAGTTGTCACTGTTTGCACTGGGTCAGTCCTGTTTGTCACCAAATTAGGTGATTCACACACACACACATGAATGAACAGTATAAAAACGAAAGTTTGAAGGACGTTTGCCAGTTCATTTCTGTTATTTGGCACAATTTCATTCATATCAGAAGTGAACCGTTCCAGAGTCTGCACAAACCATACCTCTTTCAGGCAGACTCGAATACGGTTCATGAGTGAGCCCCTGAGTTCAGAAGACACATTAACACTAGTTAAACGTACCGTACCCTAAAGGTACTGCAGACTTAAAATTTTCACTGGATGTTGATAGCAACCAAAGAAATCCATATATATGTATATGTATATATATATATATATATATATATATATATATATATATATATATATATATATATATACACACACAAAGAAAATAAATATAATAAGTTCACAAATGAAGTTCTGTGCAATAAAATGAAATGACATAGGGAAAAGTATTGAACACATGAAGAAAGGGTGTGAAAGTCAGCAGTTCTTCAGCAAGCCTCTGCCCTTTTTCTGTGTAAGTGAATATCAGCTGCTTCAATCCAACATCTATATTAGCAGGAGGATGAAGATGAAACCAGGGAGGACATTTCAGCAAGACAATGATCCAAAACACAGCCGAGGAGACTCTCAGATGCTTTTGGGCCAGCCAATCACCTGACCCTAATCCAATAGAAAATACAGAATAAAGCTCAGATTTGATAGACGAGACCCACAGAAGCATCAAGATTTTGACACTGTTGAAGTCTGTGAGAAACTCACACCTGAGCAATGCATGAGAATTCAATCTCCTTATGAGAGGCGTCTTTGAACTGCAGCACCAAACAAGCCGTTAATATGAAGTATTAACAACATTTCAGTAGTTCAGCTCTTTCTACTTGTGTTATTTCACTGTTATTCCACAGAACTAATTTTACAGATCTTTTTGTTTTGTTTTATGTTTATGTTTGTACTGTTTGGGTTTTTACTAAAATCTGCTTCAATTTCATGTCGACAGTCCCTTTAGGAATATTATTCCCAGGAAAAAAACATAAAAATGTGTTTAATTTATATTGCCCCCACTGTATACATTGAGAAAAATAACTACACTGGAATACTGCACACAATTGAGAACAGAATTCTTCTTTTCAAACTCTCAAACACCAGCAGGAGGTGCTACAGTAAAAACCATCATCCCGGCAGAAACATTCATTCCAGGAAGCTGAAATTTCCATATTAAATCTGAGCCAAACTAATCAACAGTTAAACACACTTTAATATATGCACTGCCTTTAATTTTCTGATTAATTTACATTAGCAAATAAACAGTAGACAAGAACACTGACTGTAGATCAGTTTATTTCATCTGATATTCTGTTTATTTCATGATTTAGGATCAATCACATTTTATACCCAGACTTCTCTCTGCCTTTCTGAATAAAGCAGATTTCATTCAGCTCAGACACAAATCATGATTTACTGAAGATCTGCTGCTCACAGAATCACATTCAGCAAAACATAAAGAGACCAAACACCAGCAGATCTAGAAAACACACTGAAAACACACACATCACATCTAAAGAATCTTACACCTTAAACACAAGAACCTTAAACTTTAATCTTAAACATTGATGTTAAAACTTTAAGAACACATTTTATTATGACAGATAAAACACAGAAATTAAACATTCTGCAATTTTTTAAGCACAAACTGCAGATTCACTACAGGATTTTAGGATTTTAAGAATAAATTAAACATATAAAAATAGAAAACAGTGAATGTGAGTAAACACACAGACACATCTTCTCTCAGTAGTTAGTGCAGATGAAGTTGAGTCTGTGAGATTCAGGAAGGCTGATCCAGGTCTGATCTCCTCCAGACTGAACTGCTCCTTTTCTGTTCTCCAGTTTGCAGTTTTCCGGTGTGCTGCCGTTCCCTGGAGCCCAGTTCTGATAGCACACCATGTCTCCATTCACCCAGAGCCACGTGTTTATGCTGCAGAAGTTGTGTAAACCCAACCACACCGCCTCAGTAGACGCCAGTTTAACCACGTTCATCACACGACGCTGCATCTCCACTGACTGAACCGAGACCAGATCCACATGATTCTGTCTGCAGTATCTCAAAGCTTCAGACCACGACAGATTCTGCTGGATCACAATCAGTTTATCTGGACAAAAAACAAAGCAGAAACTAGAGAGAGACTGATCAACAACAACATGCAGAACAAACACTGTGGAGGAATTTGTCATGTCAGACATGTAGAGTCGACTTTAAGAGATCTGGAGCTGATGATGGATTGAGTGTGTTTGGAGGATCTGCTCACCTTTATGAAGCACAAAAAAATCCTGATGACACACAAAAGGAAACTGAAAGTGACAAGGGATGTCATTCCATAGTCCCTGAGGATACTGACTGATCATTGCACAGTCTTCATTCCCTCCAACATTATTTGGTTCACCAGTACTCCAGTATCTGAATGAGGAGTTGCTCTGATCCGACCACTGCCATGTGTCTCTGAACAGACCGATCCAGACTGCAGATCCAGATGAGTTTCTGTCATTAATGAACTTCTCCAGCTGTTGATTCTCATTCTGGTTCCTCACACTGACCAGATCAATGTGATTCTGTCTGCAGTAACTCTGAGCAGCTCTCCAGTTCATCAGCTGATTAACAAACACCAGTCCTCCGCTCACTTTAAGAAAGACAAATAGAAACATTATTTTATCAGTTCATTCTTTATTTCTCTTATGATCTATGACTGGTGATATGTACAGAAGTAGCAGTGCAAGCATCAGAAATGCTTGTGTATTTTTTAAACTATTTATATTTATATTTTCTTGTCAGCTTAGTCCCTTTATTATATATTTTTTTTCTCCTTTATTATATGTTGTCACATATACAGGTCGATTTGAAGTTTTTTAAAATGTTTATACTCACTTTGGAAGCAGATGAAGAAATGGGTGTTACTACATGCCTCATTAATCCACTGTCCATTATACATAACAGTACAGTCACTAATGCTGGCTGGTTGTCCAGATGCCCAGTTCAGAAAGAGCACAGGATCACCTGAAGACCAATGCCAATTACTCATCCTCTGAAGACCAATCCAGACACGTCCATCATTCACACTCTTCATCAGCTGGATCAAGTCGTTCATGTTGTCAACAGTGGCCAGATCTGTGTAATTCTCTCTGCAGTATCTCTGAGCTTCAGTCCAGTTCTTCCCCTCATTGATAAAGTGATACTGACGCTGAACACATTCAGATATGGAGCAGAGAGCTGTGAAAGAGACACTTTGCTTTAATGATGTTCAGAACAGAGTCAAACCTAATGAAACTATAAACCATCAATAAAACTACAAACACACTCACCAATGAGGAGAAGAGGGAAATATAGAGTCTGAGCCATTTCTGATGAAGAGAATATTGACAAACAGTCAGATTAATTCTAGAGTAAAACATTTAAGAAGGTTAAAGAGAAACATAAATGTACAGTAATCAATAAGAGCATCAACAGATGTCAGAAGTGTGTTTGTGTGTAAATAATGTAATGTGTGTAGTTCTTACTTCAAAGCTGGTGTGTTTCTGTCCTCAGTCTGATATTTCTGTATGCAGGTTCAGACTGTGTGATGATTCTATATCTGCACTCATCCGTCTTTCAGAACGTCACAACATGTTTACTACTCTAAATTCATTTTCATATTGTGCTTCCTCTATATGTTTTCCCTTTTTTCCATATTGACATCCGTGTCCATCAGCATTATATATATATATATATATATATATATATATATATATATATATATATATATATATAGAGAGAGAGAGAGAGAGAGAGAGAGAGAGAGAGAGAGAGAAAGAGAGAGAGAGATTTACATTTTAAATTTCAGAATTAATCAGCTTGTTGTATTATTTTTGTATAACCTTGTGCGTCACATTTGTTTATTACACCAAAAAACCCTGTTCATATTTAGCTTCCTCCATATGTGTTTTCTGTCCTCTTCTTTCCTCATATTTGCATGCTGACATCAGTGTCTTTTAGGAAGAAAGTAGAAATTAATAAAAAAATGATTTACATATATGAACTTTCATGACGTACTGTATACTTCGGTGGTCACAATTAAACGACCACTGTGACGTTATAACAGGGTTTGGTCACTTATGTTGCATCTGTTTAGTGTGACGTACGTTTGGCTTTTCTGTTTTTTTAATGAGTTTCTAAAGTACAGTAACACACGAGGAGACTGAAGATAGCAGTGGTCTGTGGAAATGTTGGCTCATTTATTTACTTTTGTTCTGTCCATCAAAGTCAGATGTGAAAAGAAATGTACAACTGAAGAGCTGCTTGTGTAACCTGCCAAGCCTTTTTGCAATGGGGTCGGTTGCTCTAACAAAAAGGATCAAGGATCATCTGGCCTCCATTACACATGCACATGACGTCCTCTTTTTTTTTTTTTTAAAGACTCTGGTTTTTGCATATTTACATAGACACAACATCTACATTTCCATCCACCAATTGTTGCACATTTTGGATATGTGCATAAAAAACAGTTGATTGAAACGGCAAGACACGCATACGTTTTGAAAATAGTTGTTAGTTTATTTTAGAATAGTCAATAAAGTTTAATTTTGAATAAAGAAAAGTTTTCCCAGTGATGGTTTGCAGCTGGAAGGGCATCAGCTGCGTAAAATGTGTGCTGGATAAATTGGCGATTTAATCCGCTGTAATCCATGGTCTTTGAGACAATGTTGATTAGATCACCAACCCGTTCTGCAAGTTCTGGCCCTTTTAACACCTTTGTTCTTCTGAAAGACAAAGGACAGATGCTTATTCACTGTCTCGCAACTGTGAATAAACTCAGCAACTCAATGCATTTCGGCATGTAGACATGGTCAAGATGATCTGCTGTAATTTAAACTCAGCATCAGAATGGGGAAGAAAGGGGATTCAAGTGACCTTGAACGTGGCATGGTTGTTAGTCCCAGACGGGCTGCTCTGAGTATTTCAGAAACTGCTGATCTACTGGGATTTTCACGCACAACCATCTCTAGTGTTTACAGAGAATGGTCTGAAAAAGAGCATATATCCAGTGAGCGGTACTTCAATTCAATTTAATTTATCTTTAATTCTATAGCTCTTTTACAATGTAGATTATGTCAAGGTAGCTGAACAAAGAAGTTCTAGTAAATTGAAACGATGTCAGTCCATTTTTCAGAGTTGACTTGTTCTGTAGGTGCAAATGCCTTGTTGATGCCAGAGGTTAGCACTCGTTACAACCGAGGTCTGTTGAAGAGCATCTCTGAACACACAACACGTCCAACATTGAGGCGGATGGGCTACAGCAGCAGAAGAGCACACTGGGTGCCGCTTCTGTCAGCTAAAAACAGGAAACTGACGCTACAATTCACACAGACTCACCAAAACTGGACAAGAGAAGATTGGAGAAACGTTGCTGCTCTGATGAGTCTCCATTTCTGCTCACACATTCAGATGATCAAGTCAGAATTTGGCCTCAACAACATGAAAGCATGAATCCATCCTGCCTTGTATCAATGGTTCAGGCTGCTGGTGGTGGTGTAATGGTGTGGGGGACATTTTAATGGCAAGCTTTGGGCCCGTTAATACTAATTTGTGTCAAGGCCACAGCCTACCTGAGTATTGTTGCTGACCATGTTGCAAGAGTCTAAAGAAGTCCCACACAAATTCCGATGGCAGATACCGATGAGATCAGGGCCTGGTGTGTGGACTTCAGGGGTTTTATGATGTGGTCACATGTTGATTGGTTATTTTAAATATTTTAGTATTTGGGCTTTGGTCACATGGTCAAGAAATTGAAGGATTTGGATTTCTGCTTTCCAATCCGTCTCATCATGGACCAACGTTTATCCTTTTCTCGTCATCTTGTTTCTCATAATTTTTTAAAATTAAATATAATTATTTGATTATTTGAGTGAGTATTTAACTGTGAATTGATTTTAATTTATGAATAAGTTAACACATTGCTTAATATAAGAATGTTCATTGCATTTGCCTGTCTCTTTATAACTATTTTCAGAAGCCAGCAAACTAGGTCAGAGGTCATGGAGACCTTGAGTGGAACTGAGGGCTGAGGACTGGAATCAACTGTTTCTATTGTTATTTCTAGGAGTTTTTCTAGGAATTTTGTTATTTTTACGGTTAATTCTGTTTAAAGTGATTCTACTTTTTATTCAAGATAGACTTTGTGTAGTAAGAATATAACTGCCTGAATGTAGATTCTACCGGTTTTTAACCAGTTTTGATAAAGACGGCTGAGAGTACACTCAGCCTTGAATAAGAAACAGATTATACTTTGTGTGTGTGTTTTATTTGATTGTTGATCCGTTTCACAGGTCTGGAGTCAGCTCTAATCAGTCTAAAGGATGTCTGACGTTTATGCTTAAGATATTGTTCTGAATATACGCACAAACCCCATGTGGAAATTTCCTAGTCTATCTGGGCCCTATCATACACCCGGCGCAGTGTGGCGCAAGGCGTGACGCAATAGTCTTTTGGTAGTTTCAGCTTGGGGCAAGAGTCGTTTTGCAAAGTTGCGCCTCGCTTACACACTTCTTAATACACACAAGAGAGCAATAAGCAAATATCTTTACATATGAAAACATGTAAATATTAAGGATATATATAGGATATAATAAGAATAGATACAGAATATAAATATAAAGGATTAAAATATTACAAAACATATTATTTCTAGCCTACATAAATATGAAAAATCACTGCTTTTATGTCTTCTTCATCTCGGGAGGCTTTTTCAGTTCATTCATAACCATTTGCTTTTGAATAATGTTATTATTATTAGCTGTATTATTTATTATATCCATATTTATATTTGTTTAATTAAAAACAAGCTTAGATTTGCCCACCTGTCAGGTTTTAGACCAGTGGTTCCCAAAGTGGGGGTCGGGACCCCCCTAGGGGTCGCGGTATAATGAAGAGGGGTCGCCTGGTGATTTCCAAAAATCTATTTATTTTCAATTAACCACTAGAATTACCATTTTTTACTGAAGAGAAAAAAATAGTTGTTTATAGTTGCATGCAATATTGTTACTATAGTAGCTTATAGTTACTAGTTCAATTGGATTGCGACCCCTGGGGTAATAACATAATATTAAAGAGACAGCAATAGCGTCAGATGCAGCAGACTGATTTTATGGCACCAGGTTAAACTTTCTGGCCCATTTACAGCACTGACATACATTAAAAAAATTAAACGAAGAATAAAATTGGGTGTATTGGAGTCGAGTGTATTGCAGAGATCAACCCATCTCTGTCTATTCTATCTAGTTATCCATGTCTCTCTATATACAAATACACATTTTAAACTTTTCATCTGCACCAAGGCCCCTCCTATGCTGTTTCTTTAACCGGCAAATGTTTATTTTACGAATTTTATAGATCAAATAGTGCTGTATGCTTCTCAAACTAACTTACATGAGAAGTGTCTACAGTCAGAGGACAATCGCCTGTGATATCATGTCATTTGTTTTTTATTATCAGGTTGCTGTAGACCTAGTTATAATCATATTTATACAATATAGTTATAATAATATTTATACAATATAGTTATAATGATATTTATACATCATCAAACTAGTGTTGCTTTCTCCGCTTCAGTGATGTCCAGCGGCAGAATAACAGCTCGTTAATTCATGCTCGTGCAGAGGATGAGACGGACAAAAGTAATTAATGCATGTCATTCTTTTACTTATTTTCGTGTTGTCAGATTCAGAGTGCAAACAGCTCCCGGTAGGAATAATTCGAGTGAACATAAAACAAAGCCGATTAAAACTTCTCTGCTCAGCTGCACAGAACACAGCGAGCTCACATAATCCAGCATGCGTGTCGAACTACACTACCCACAATACACTTCGCTATGGACTACAAATCCCGTAAATATTCTATTTCCCCTCTCCTACAACACTAGTGTGCAACTTAAGCAAAACTGATACTAAAATTGTTTTACATTTGGTTTTGTAGTTCGGGCCTAAATAAATGTTTGTTGCCGTTTTAAATCGTTTTAAGTTAATTTGAATGACTATATATAAACCATTTGACATTATTAACGCATTTATTGGGTAAAATTGCTAAAATTGCGTTTTGGTCATTATCAATGCACTGTCACTTTAATTGAGCGTGAGCAGCGCGTCAAAAATAGACCCAGGGCCGAAACAATGGCTGCACTGCTGCTTCGGCGACGCTCACGCCTCGCTCTGACGTGCTGCTGCTGCGTGCGGTATGAAAGCTCTAATCTGTTAACATAGACGCCGAAAACACACGCGCTGCTCACGCGCCGCTGACGCTTGCGATGTGAAACAGGCGTCAGACTTACTTTGCGTCCTGTAAATAGCGAATGCGCTTATGGCGCAACGCTGCTGGGTCTTAAAGGGAATGGGAGATGAGACTCTGATTGGTTTATTCTCAAAACACACCTATAACTCATTAAGAAAATAAACTCAACCCTTTTAGAACATGCGGCGCAAGGCAGATTTCCCGTCCTTAAATTAGCAAAAACGCGTCCGGACACGCCCTGAAAGCGTTTGCGCCCTGCGTTTTGCGCTCTGCGCATGGACCGTCAAAATAGAGCCCTCTGTGTTTTAACCAATCAGGTTAGGACACCTGTATGTGTGACGCAGTTAATGACGTTATGTGAGAGCTGCCTAGGAACTCATTGCGAGTGTTGAAGCTGGCTTCTGCTGATGAAACTGCAAACTATCTTCAGTAAACTTTATTTATTTATTTAAATCTCTGACTCCGGCTCTTCTTCATCTACCAGACTGGTCATTTTTTGGTTCAAACTGTATACAATCCATACAAAAGAGACAAAATAGCTGGTAAACTTTGTCTCTTTTCCCTGGTCTGCTCCTGCCCTGGATTCTGTGTTCTCTGGCTCTACTGTTCTCAGGCTGTTTGAGGCCTACTTACTCTCTTTGTATCTCCCTCCCTCTGTCTCTCCTTTTACCTCTGGTAACTTTATTTTAATTGAAGCTGGGTACAATTTATATCATTTGTTTTATCACTTCCAGTTTTATCATCTTATACAGTTATTTTGTAATTAATTCAGTTGTAACCATAGAACAATTTTGTCATTAAATAATTTCATTTTCAAGTATTTGTGAATTACTTTTGATTTAACATCAACACTTAATTGCTCCATATTTCAATACAGTACACTTACATAATATCAACCCTTTCCACATTTATAGCTATTAATACTGCCCTTATTTAAAATTTTGGTATAAGATTGCAGAAGAATGGTTTGACTAGAAATGTAGTTTTTTACCATCATGCTAATAACTTTTTAGTCACTTGGAAAAATTACAGTTCGAACCGCTGTTGTTAAAATCCAATCTTATAACGTCCATCTCTTTATGATCACATCTTCTGATGGCTACTTCCAGCAGGATAACACACCATGTCATAAAGCGCCAAACATCTCAGACTGGTTTCTTGAACATGACAATAACTTCACTGTATTCAAATGGCCTTCACAGTCACCAGATCTCAACCCAATAAAGCACCTTTGAGATGTGGTTCGCGTCATCGATGTACAGCTGACAAATCGGCAGCAATTGCGTGATGCTATCATGTCAATATAAACCAAAATCTCTAAGGAATTTTTCCAGTACTGAAGTCAAAAAAGGGTCCAACCAGGTACTAGTAAGGCGTACCTAGTAAAGTGGCCAGTGAGTATACTTTGAGAATATATATATATATATATATATATATATATATATATATATATATATATATAGGACACTCTGAGAGCAGAATCATTCTTCTAGTCAAACTCTCAAACACCAGCAGGAGGCGCTACAATAAAAATCAACATCCCTACAGAAATATTCAAGTCTCAAAATATTCATTCCAGGAAGCTGGAATTTCCATACTAAATCTAAACCAAACAAATCAACAGTTAAACACACTTAAATATTTGCACTACATTTAATTATCTGATTATTGTGATGCTGGAGAGACATTAGCAAATAAACAGGAGACAAGAAAACTGACTGTAGATCAGTTTATTTCAGTTGATGTTCTGTTTATTTCATGATTTAGGATCAATCACATTTTATACCCAAACTTCTCTTCTGCCTTTCTGAATAAAGCAGATTTCATTCAGCTGAAACACAAATCATGATTTACTGAAGATCTGCTGCTCACAGAATCACATTCAGCAAAACATAAAGAGACCAAACACCAGCAGATCTAGAAAACACACTGAAAACACACACATATCACATCACATCTAAAGAATCTTAAACTGAAGAACATTAACCTTAAAAACTGATGTTAAAACTTTAAGAACACATTATATTATTACAGATAAAACAGAAATAAAATATTTGGCAATTTTTAAAGCACAAACTGCAGATTCATTATAGGAATATAGGATTTTATATTACTAAAAAATAATAAATCAAACATATAAAAATAAAAAATATGAACGTGAGTAAACACACAGACACATCTTCTCTCAGTAGTTAGTGCAGATGAAGTTGAGTCTGTGAGATTCAGGAAGGCTGATCCAGGTCTGATTTCCTCCAGACTGAACTGCTCCTTTTCTGTTCTCCAGTTTGCAGTTTTCCGGTGTGCTGCCGTTCCCTGGAGCCCAGTTCTGATAGCACACCATGTCTCCACTCACCCAGAGCCACATGTTCATGCTGCAGTAGTGGTGTAAACCCAACCACACCGCCTCAGTAGACGCCAGTTTAACCACATTCATCACACGACGCTGCATCTCCACTGACTGAACCGAGACCAGATCCACATGATTCTGTCTGCAGTATCTCAGAGCTTCAGACCACGACAGATTCTGCTGGATCACAATCAGTTTATCTGGACACAAAACAAAGCAGAAACTAGAGAGAGACTGATCAACAACAACATGCAGAACAAACACTGTGGAGGAATTTGTCATGTCAGACATGTAGAGTCAACTTTAAGAGATCTAGAGATGATGATGGATTGAGTGTGTTCGGAGGATCTGCTCACCTTCATGACACACAAAAGGAATTTGGCGACTATCACAAGGGACATCTGCCCATCCTCTCTGTGTATTCTTTCCAATCACTGCACAGTCTTCATGACCTCCATAATTATTTGGTTCACCAGGATACCAGTATCTGAATGAGGAGTTGCTCTGATCTAACCACTGCCATGTGTCTCTGAACAGACCGATCCAGACTGCAGATCCAGATGAGTTTCTGTCATTAATGAACTTCTCCAGCTGTTGATTCTCATTCTGGTTCCTCACACTGACCAGATCAATGTGATTCTGTCTGCAGTAACTCTGAGCTTCTCTCCAGGTCATCGACTGATTGACAAACACCAGTCCTGTGCTTGCTTAAATGAATGAATTAATGAATGAATGACAGGAACAAGAGCATCAGGGGAAAGCAGCAGAAATGCTTGCGTTACCAAAGTAATATCTCTCAGCTCTTTCATAAGACAACATCTGACATAAACACGTACAGAATCATAATGTATTAGTATACAATATTGTTATATATTTAAATCTTTGTAACGTGAAAATATGTACACAACACTGTATATCTATGCACATAAATAATTGTGTGATTTATAGTCAGTACTAATATTTTTAAAATGTACATGTACTGAAATATGCTCATGCATATAATGAATATATTGAACACATTTATACTGGTCTGTGATGCACTTTGCTCAATTTACACAGTAAAAAATAAACAAAACAAGGGGCACTGGCCCCAATTAAAATCTGGTTGTCTACTAAAGTGACACTACAACGCGTCTTCCTTGTCTTGTATCTCTGTATTCAGACCCTAACCTGTATTTTCCTTGTTCTCCTGTTTAGCCGCCTGCATTCTGACCTCTTGCCTGTGTTTGATTACGATTCTGGACTGCCTGTACATAACCGTTTGCACCTATTTTGACCACTGCTAGCCTGACAACGAGTAAACCTGCATGTGGATCCAACTTCTGTTGTCAGTGTCACTCCCGTCGTTACAGAAGACTCGGCCGAGTGAAAGGGTGATAGTGTGGTTTAAGTAGTGTCTGCAAGCAGTCTATGACAATCCTCAGGTGGTTCGAGTAATCAGTCTAGATGAGGAAGCATGTGTGAGTGTGGCCGGAGTGCATGTATGAATATGTAGTCCATCAAAGGCGGAAGTGTAGTCCATGGTTATTGATAGAGCAAACCAGTGATCTTATGGAATCTGATCGCTGGTAATCGTAACAGTGCTTACCTCATATAGTAAACACTGTGTGCATAAATAGGCATGTTGTGCTCTCCGTAATGTACTTTTGCGTATGTGTGTGTAACGGAGGCCAGCTAGTAAGTGCTGTGCAGGTAAACCTCACTCCTCTGACCTCTAAAGGTGCTCTAGCAACAGACGCTTGAAGGTCTTTAGCCTCCTTGGTAGAGCAACCAACTCCCATGCGGAAGGTCGCCGGTTCGATACCAGCTCGGAGCGGGTTGGGTGGCGTGAGACCGGCAGGGTTACACGGGTCTGTTTAGGACCATGGTCTGTTCACATTGCAAATCTGATATTGGCCACATGTATAACAACAATGTGAAGAGCTATGCAAAAAAATTTGATCTGAGAAAAACAATCAGATTTGAGCACAGTGTGATCGTAGCCTAAGTAGACTGCACTGGTAGCTGTCAGAATTAGACTGGTGCACGGTGTAGACAGCCTGACACTCAGCTGAAGCAAGCTTGACTGATGTATCCTGCCTGAACTAAGGACATGCTCAATTTTCTAAAAGTTCATTTTTAAAAATCTGATTTCCACGCAACAACCAAATGGTGTGAATTGAACAAATAACTGAAACGTTTTGCATTCATGCTGTACATTTCAACAAATGTGCTATTTTAATGACATTTACAAGCATATAATAATATGATACTTACACATCATATGCATTTCGTATTATCAGTTAACATGTTAATAATAGGACATGTAATTGCTTGTATAATTACAATATTTTTAAGAGGGGTTTGAACTCACTGTTGTTGCAGATGAAGAATGAGACATTACTACATAGCCAAACAATCCACTGTCCATTTCTCATAACAGCACACTCTTCACTGCCGGCTGGTTCTCCAGATGCCCAGTTCAGAAAGAGCGCAGGATCACCTGAAGACCAATACCATTTATAAACACCCGTCCTCTGAAGACCAATCCAAATATTCTGAACCCCTTCATTATTCGCACTCTTCTTCAGCTGGATTAAGTCGTTCATGTTGTCAACAGTGGCCAGATCTGTGTATTTCTCTCTGCAGTATCTCTGAGCTTCAGTCCAGTTCTTGTTCTCATTTATAAAGTGATACTGACGCTGAACACATTCAGATATGGAGCAGAGAGCTGTGAAAGAGACACTTTGCTTTAATGCTTTTCAGAACAGAGTCAAACCTAATGAAACTATAAACCATCAATAAATCTACAAACCAATGAGGTGAAGAGGGAAATATAGAGATTGAGCCATTTCTGAGGAAGAGAATATTGACAAAAAATCTGATTCATTCTAGAGTAAAACATTTGAGCAGGTAAAAGTGAAACATGCAGAATATACAATCAATAAGAGCATCAACTGATATCAGAAGTGTGTTTGTGTAAATAATGTAGATGTGAGTTGCTCTTACTTCAGAGCTGGTGTGTTCCTGTCCTCAGTCTGATGTTTCTGTCTGCAGATTCAGACTGTGTGATGATTCTATATCTGCTCTCATCCGTTAATCAACACGTCACAGCATTTGTTTAATACTCTAAACAAAGGCCTTTTTCATTTTTCTTCCTCATTCACATGTTTTTTCTGGACTTCTGTGGAAGTCTGTTCATTTGGGTGGAGAGTGTGTATGTTTCAAAATAAACTATTTTCATACTGGTTACACAAGAAATTCACCCTCAAAAATAGCCTTTTCTTTTCTTGTTTTTGGCTTTCCAGGGTTTCATTGTTTCAGGTGTCAGTCAATTCAACAGTTCACACTTAGCTCATGATTTAAACATAGCTTGTTTGGCATGCTGTCCCGGGAGAGAGCCCTGAGGTCAAAGGATCCTCGAGCCCAGGGCTCCCCCTCTTTTTCAGGGCGAGTGGAGATTGAGCTCAGGTCTATCTCAAACTCCCCCGCTGCTGAGGCCAAGGCGAACTTCCTGAGAGTAAGACATTATAAAAAGGGTTTAGGCTTATTTTATCTATAATATAGAGCACATTTGGATGGTGGGAGGAAACCGGGGAACCCGGGGGAAACCCACGCGGACCCGGGGAGAACATGCAAACTCCACACAGAAATACCAAATGGCTTAGCGAGGACCCAGCACCATTGGTATTCTTGCTGTGAGGCAACAGTGCTAGTCACAGAGCCACCGTGTCGCCCATTCTGGATAAAGGAGGAAGAAGGCGAGGAGGGGGGTTTCTTCCAGACGAAGATAGTTGTAGAAAGGAAATGAGGATATATATAGTGATTTGGGATCCTTTGATTGGAGGATCATAATTGGCTAATGTGGACCAGCTGGGTCAATCATGAGCACATGCTCCTCTTGAAATTAGTTTAAAATTAAACTTCACTTCGTGTTATTTTACCCATAAACACCCTTTCTGTCATGCTGTTTTTTATTTGATTTCATTTCCAGACTTCAACACACAAATATTTCACATATGTCCGAAAGACTTGATAGTTTAGATTTAGGTTAAAGGGCACCTATGGTGAAAAATCTACTTTTTAAGCTGTTTGGACAGACATTTGTACAGGTATAGTGTATAGAGCATCATATTGGGGTGATATAAACACACACAGTTCTTTTTTTTTATTTATTTAACAACATAAAAACGGTGGACCAATTAGAGTGGTTTTCAGAGCGACCGCAACTTGACGTAGGAGTGTGGCCCCCCCGCCCACCAATATTGATTGACAGGCGCGTCACCACATCCTCAGTTTGTTGTTGCACGTCCACCATTTTCAGCGTGAGTCAAAGCGATGTCACTAAAGGAACACCCTTGCTCTATTTTCAGATGTAAGGCTCATTGGGCTAAACACAAGATCAGCATTCTCTACATGATCGCTGTAATCGGAATTATTGTTTGTACCTTTGGGTAGGTTTGCAAACATGTGTACTTTTCATTGCGTCTACCTTAAACTTCAGCTGGTTGCATTTCTTGCATTCACAGAAGCTCCCTGTGATCTTAACTAGGTGCAGCTGGAAAGTGCAAGCACGTTGCCTCATGTGCGTGTCTCTCCATTGGAAATAAAATAATGAACCTGCCTGCAGGTCGCACACCAGAAGCGCAGTGCATTTTAGAATTCTGAACATAGGTTTCTATCAGTGTACACACAACCACGCTTCAAGTCGACGGCTGTCAGCGGCTCCCAGCCATGGTTCGGGACACTTCATGTTTCTGCCGCGCCACAGAGCTCCATCTGAATAGTTTCATTTTAAGTAACATGCGAATGTGCATGTCCGATTGTGCCGTGTCACAGCACTGGTGTCTCAGTCAAAGTTAATTCAGTGTGGTGGTAATTGGTGAAGGAACTGGAAGGATGGAGCATGTGATTGACAGACTGATCAGTGTAGTGGCAGCAGTATTGAGGTGAATTTACCGGGCCATTGTGGAAGAGCAAGATGAAGCTGAGCTGAAAGGCAAAGCTCTCGATTTACCCATCAATCTACATTCCTACTCTTACCTATGGTGGTCATGAGCTTTGGGTCATGACCAAAAAAAAAAACATTTCAAATATCTCAGGTACAAGAGGCTAAGATGCGTTTCCTTCACAGGGTGCACCCTCAAAGATCTCTGTCACCCGCGAGGAGCTCAGAGTAGAGCTGATGCTCCTCCACATTAAGAGAAGCTTGCAGAAGTGGCTTGAGCATTGATTTGGATGCTTACCTAGGGGAGTGTTCTGGGCTTACACCACTGGGAGGAGGAGACCCTGGAGAAGACAGAGGACACACCATCTCTCTGCTTGGCTGGGAATGCCTCGGGTTCCCCCGGAGGAAGCAGCTGCGGAGAGAGAAGACTGAAAATCCCTCCTGAGACTGCTGCCCCTGCGACCTGGCCATAGATAATGATGATGAGAGAAAGATAAAATTCGTATAATAGTTTGGAATGGACTGTTGTATGTGACTGCAAATATTGTTTTGTTGTTTATCTTTAACAAAACCTTTTAAAAATTACATTTTGATTTTAAATGTCAGTTTGGTCAAATAAAAAACATAGCACAAACTTCAATTGTTTAGACTTCTTATTAATATTGTTGGCACTTTATTATTCATTCATTCATTTTCTTGTCGGCTTAGTCCCTTTATTAATCCGGGGTCGCCCCAGTGGAATGAACCGCCAACTTATACTTCTGCGTCAAACGCACGCATATGCTAAGGCGTTGATGCATAGCCCTACGCCGTGGCCGTCGGCGTTGCTGACGTGCACCTCTCAAAAAAATGTAACTACACGTCGCAACGACGCGTAGCACAAGCTCTGTGATTGGTCGGCTTGGTAGCGCTGGCAAGTCTGGGCGGGACCAAGAGCCAAGCAAATGGCGCGAGCCTGATGCAACGATTGTTTACAAGTGTGGAGTCCCGTGAAGGAGCTCCGGATGGAAAGTTTTGTTTTGTGTTTACCTCATGGTTAAAGTTGTTGCACGTCCGCCGGTTCCTGCCTCAAAATGAGCGAGTTTGAGTCACTTGTACATTCAGGAAGTGTTCAGGAAAAGCAAAACAACAGCGAAGAAACTCGACAAAGAGGAGCATTAACACCTCACTGCCAACTAGCGTTTCGGAATTGTTAATGCAGACCAACAGAGACAGCGCGCAGAAGTATAAATGCACAGCTGCGCACGTTGCATGTGCCGTGGGTTACGCCGGTCACTTGACGCACAAGTATAAACCAGGCTTTATCCAGCACATTTTTACGCAGCAGATGCCCTTCCAGCCACAACCCATCTCTGGGAAACATCCACACACATTTGATTAATTTTATTTGGAATGACTAATACTAATTAAAGCAACACAGCATCCATATAACCGTAAGGAGCCCATGATGTTTCACAGTACAAGCAGCAGATGCAACCATTGATTTTATTTTGCATGGCAATATTAAACATTCAATCCATTCTGCGCATAGTATTAAGTAAATGGATTAAGGATAGAGATGGCATTGTCTTCTCCACACGTGAAGACTGCCTATTGTAGCGGACACAGAACAATACTTTGCAATTTGTTTAAAGTCCTTTTTATTGAGTCCGGCAATTTGTAGTCCCTTCACACACAGTTTATGAACATGCCCTAGGCTACCGCAGATTAAAACCACCAACTTTGTGTTGTAGCCACACATTTTTAGAGCATTCACTAATGGTTGATATTTTAGCATTTTTTCCGAATAGCACAGATCCATGTTTACATCAAAACAGCAACCTACTTCCATAATCAGAATGGTTTTCAATGCTTCATCCACAACAACAATATCAGGAGTGTATGGAAAATTCCTAATGACAGCAGTCAGAACATGTGCATTACTGCTCAATGATGAAAACCAGTTCATTCGTACAGTCTTGTTAATGTATAGTGCACTGTGCGTACTGATTCTGTCCATACACACACACACACACACACACACACACACAAACACACACACACACTCATACACTACGGACAATTTAGTCTACCCAATTCACCTGTACCGCATGTCTTTGGATTGTCGGAGAAACCGGAGCACCCGGAGGAAACCCACACAAATGCAGGGAGAACATGCAAACTCCACACAGAAATGCCAACTGAGCCGAGGTTCGAACCAGCGACCTTCTTGCTGTGAGGCGTCAGCACTACCTACTGCGCCACTGCCTCGCCCACTTTATTATTTAATTTGGAAAAATATCTATTTACAAACACAGCAAATTCATAGATGGAAAAGTTAAGGTATGGCTATTAGAAGAGGGGAAAACAGAAAGAAACTCTTGTGTTATAGCTCTAAATAAATTGAAGACTGATCATTCCTGTGACACAGGAACAAGGAAACACAACTTATTAAGAAAAAAAGAAATACTGTTTCAGTAATTGACATACTGCACTCGAAAACTACTATCCACGCCAAGCTGCAGGACCCATTGTTTTTGTATTAACTAAAGCCAGTGTTATGACCCCCTCGTTCGAGTCGCAACATAAAAGAACAAAAAGATTAAATATTAGGGATGTAACAATATTGTAAATACCGTCATACCGCAATAGTAATTTTTTTCAATATTACCGTAGGCGCATGACTCAATAAATCTATATTTCTGAGAAAAGTTTGCTCAGGCGAATGAAGCAAACAGGAGGTAGCGGAAACTACAATTCCCATCAGCCCATGCGTGGCCATCATCCTTTGCGGTCTGTTGTCACTACAGATCCAGTAATGCGGAAATGGAGTGTGCTGCTAGTAGCGGGGAAGAAAAAGAGCTGGAAATGATCGAACCTAAAGCGGGTTTTAAATCAGATGTGTGGAAGCATTTCGGTTTCTTTCTAAAAAGATACGAAAAAGGAGAAAAGGTGACAGACTAAGAAAAAAACAGTATGCAGGCACTGCCAGACTGTGGTGAAATATAAGTCGGGGAATACGACTAAAAACAGTCATGGGGACTGCAGAACACAGCACACTTGTTAGATTAATGCACACATTGACTTGTACCGCAAAGAGATCTCTATCTCACTCATGGTTTGTCCTCTCAAGTGGTGGAAAGACAATGCACAGCGTTACCCACTGCTGTCAACCTTGGCTAAATCATATCTCTCTGTCCCAGAAACCTCAGTCCCAAATGAGAGGGTTTTTTTCTGTTGCAGGGGAAAAAAAAAAAAAAGTGCCAAAAGTGTCAATGACATACAAATTAGCCATCTATCTGTAAGCTTTGAAACAGGAACTTCAATTTTAATAACAAAAAATTATTAAACCATGTAAAAACAATAAAGTTTCAATTTAGTATTGTTGAAAACTCATCACATTCAACATTTAATCACACT